GGGAGGACAACAGGGCGCGGACTTTCACTGGAGGAAGCGTTATTACTCATATTTTGGTCAGAAGCGATAAACACCTTGACAACGGATTTGTTTCTTATAAACATGCACCTTTTTGCTTCACAAGACATAAATTGATGGACTTGAGTCGAACGGATTACTTGTGGACCGTGTCCATCAGCGGTTTAAACTCTCATTCTGATGGCACCCACTCACTGCAGAGGATTAATTGTTGAGCAAGTGGTGTAAAGTTAAATTTCTCAATCTGTTCCGATTAAGAAAAACTTACCTACATCTTGAATGGCCTGAGGGTGAGTAAACTTGCAGGCGATTTTCATTTTTGGGTAAACTACTGCTTTAACTCTGGGGCATTTCAAAGCTGTGCAGTCATGCTCCAGTCACTACGACTAACAGGCAAATATACTGGCGTAACAGTGAATAAGCTTTGTCTGCAGACCTGGCGCTGCTGCTGCTGCAGTTGTTGCTGCTTGTGCATATGAGGATCCATACTGCTGTTGTGCATACACTGGTCCAGCAGAGGGCGCTGCCTGACTGTAGGTGGACTCAGGTGCAGCAGCGGGTTGAGCATATGAGGCATAATCTTGCTGAGAATAGCCCTGTCACAAAAGAAATTTAGCTGAATTACATGCCACTGTATTCTTACACACAAAACATTAGATACAACAACCAGGATTGCTTAAACGTTATCAAACAAGTACACAGCATGTGTGTGGGAGTTTGACATTGCAAGTCCCAAGGCTCCACTAGTTGAACTAAGTGTTAGGCTTACCTGTGCAGTCTGTCCATAGCCCTGAGAAGGAGGGGTGGTGTATGAGCCATACCTGTGTAAAATGTGCATTTTATGTATTTTTTTTACATTTTATTTATTATTATTATTTTAATAATGACAAGTAAGCATTGTGTTGAGAAATACAGCATTTTATGGAGGTGGACTTACGACTGCTGTGCACCAGCCTGGTTGTAGCTGCTATAATCTACAGGGAAGTAACTTATTACATAAGGTTAGAAGTCCTGCAAACACTGTTACAGCTGTACAACATGGGGGGGTAAAAAAAAAAGATGCACACTGACTGCACATCTAGCGTTTTATTATAGTCCAAAAACGATGGGAGACACATGCATGACTTGAGCAAACGCCTCAACACAGACACTGAGTGCAGCCCCTGCTGAATCCCAGGCCATTCAGTTGTAACGAAGCTTAAATCAACAGGACAGGCTTAGTTGTTTAAAGTGTTTAAGCATTCACATGAAACAGGGGTCCGTGATATTGAAACACCACACTAACATTTTAGTTAGGGAAACGTGATAAATTTAAGAAAACTATGCATTTGAACGTTTACGATGCCGCGTTACTTTAACTCTAAAACTGACGACGAAATACTATCGAAAACAAAACTTGCAAGAAATCAAATCTCAGGTGCAAGTTTATTTTACAACGCTAAACAAAGCAAGAGTGCGAAACCAACACTAAACATCGTGTTCGTCGCGGTGGCTGCGCTCTCTATCCCGCTGTTTTTAAACCACGCCTGCTAGCTACTGACGGTTTACGTAAGAACGAAACAACGAGCTCTGGTTTTAGGCATTTAAAGAACAAAAACGTATTAGAGTAAATTATTACCTGGTGTTGTGAATTTTGCTCTTAGCATACTATAAACGAAGTTTCAAAACCGGTGGGGTCGAGTTAACGATCCGTTAGCTTCAACCGACCACTCCGACCTAAAAACACAAACCTGAGGCCGCGTGCTCGAGGACTGTTGGTTATACAAAAACGCCCAAATTCTTAACATTATTTAAAGTTTACCTCAACTGTGGCAATTTCTAGCAATTGCAAAGTACTGAAATTCAAAAAAATGTAAACAACATAAACGAAAGAAGAAAAAACTCACTCGAGACTGACGCCATCTTTCCGTGGGAGAACGTACGCAGTGTGGACGACTGTGCAAGCGCGACGAGTGCGCATGCGTGAAATCAATATGGAACGTACCAACACACCAAGTGTAGAGGGCGGCGGATGTAAATGTCTGCTTGTAATTGTTAATATGTTATTTGCCTGGTTATCTATACAATTGTGTCGATCAATTGTTATTCGATATAAAACAGTTTTATATAGTTTAACAAATCTATAAATATACATTTATAGCGTTTTATAAAACATTCGGATAACGTTACCCCCCCCAATGCGCTTGCCCGTAAGAGGAAGTTATTCGCTGTCAAAATAAAAGGATTGGCAAACGACATTGATTATTGGTGTACCTTGGTCTTAGCTTACTTGTATAAATAAATTAAAATAAATTGGATATTTGTGCTCCTTGTAGTAAGTACACTCATCGTTTGTTGAAGTGTCTGTTAAACAGACCTCGATATGCTAGCGTCGTAAACTGGCAATGAAGTGAAACTGGAAACATGAATACATACATAAAGATACTCCTACCCCTAAGCATATATCTAGATATATACTTGTAATGATAGCAACCCATCAGGTGATGCGTTTTTCAGTTTTTTGACAATGCTTGACCGTCTCTTTTCGGCATGGATATGGTTTGGATCAAACCGTCCAGGTTATTGTAGTGGAACATTTTTAATACTCCTATTAATTTTGTCGACTTGGCTCTGTGGTATTCACGCCAGTCTAAGTTTAGGACCAGGCGGGGATTTTCCTGGATTTTATGGTAAGCAATTCACAAATGTATAGGTCTATGATTCTAGATTCTAAACATTCAGTTCCTGATGTTCCTTGTGTATTGCAGATTTCATCTTCTACGCCTTCAGTAATGAGGAGTTAACCTCATTTCTCCACAACCTTACACTGCTGCTGTGGATCGGGCCCTGTCAGGAGAGAAGATGGAGCACTTTTGTCTTTCTAGCCCTCTCTTTTATCTCCACTGTGCTCCTTCCTCCTATTTATGCCCTCTTTCTCTTTGTAACCGGGGATGAAGCCAGCAGGGTCAGTGGATACTCAGCCACCCACCTTGCCCTGCTCACAGCTCAGTGTCGGCAGGTGAAGCAGAGGAGAGTCCTGCGCTTTGTTCCTCTCTGGTTCTTGCCTTGGCTCCTCTTGATCCTCGACCTCTTCCTGCTTCCCAGTGCTCCTGGCCTGCTGCACTTTTATGCCATTTGCCTGGGACTCAGCTGTATCCTTTCTCAACTTTTTTTGACTCAAAGACTCCCCAATGTCCAACACAATATTCAGAGGCCCCCGATATAGGCTATTTATAGGCTATATATATCTCTCAGATATTTCTACTGTAATTATGACAATGTTTTCAAACTTTATTATTAACAGAAATTGTGGTTAAAGGGAAAGTCCACCCAAAAATGAAAACTATGTCATCACATACTCACCCTCATGTGATTCCAAACCTGTTTGCTAAATATTTTGAAGAATGGTAATAACCATATACAACCTATATATATATATATATATATATATATATATATACATAATATTTATTATTATTATTTTAAATAATAATTTAATAAATAATTTAAGTCATCCTGCAGCCCCCTCATGTTTACTGAGCTCCCCCTGGGGGAGAACCACTACTTTACACTAATATCATTTTGCGGTGTAAATTGATCTCTTTATAAACTCTGTATAAAGTAATGCCCTTAATATATTATACAGACAATAATGAGTTAATTGAAATACTGGAGCAGATAGAGAAACTGGGTGCTTGTGCCTGCTTGCCAAAATGGGCCTACATCCCTGTTACCTCTCATCCACACCTGCCAGTTTACCACAGCACCTCAATAAGGTTATTGTGAACTGTATGCTAATATTTCCCATTTGTTTTCTTATATCACATCATGTAACTAGAATGAATGAGCTTTATTATTGTTCTGTAATAGGCCAGTGCCATTGATTGAGCCATCAACCAGTAGATCCCAATTGGAAGATCATTCAGCATGGCTGCATTCTGTATCTGAGTGGCATCAGGAGCCTTTAATGGCAACCGATTCACAGTTGTTAGAGGAGGAGATGCTGAGAGCAGGGATATTAGCATCACTCCACGACGCACCCGAGGGTGTAGCGGACAAAGTGGAAGTACCCAAGTCCTCAGTATCCTCTATAAGGTCAGTGTATACTGTAAATGAGTGTTTCTTCAACTATGGGTAACTATAATGATCTCTTGAATGCTTAAGTTCATGCTGTGCGTCTAAACTCACTTTCAGGTTGCAACAGCTAGAGAAGATGGGCTTCCCCACAGAGAAAGCTGTTGTGGCTCTGGCCGCTACAGGGCAGCTGGATGGAGCAATCTCTCTGCTTATTGATGACCAGATTGGGGAGGAGGCCGTGGTCATCTCAAAAGGAAAGAAGTCATCATCAGCATCATAGCTCAGGGATACCACTTCAATTTGAAGCTGATAGCATTGCCCTTACTCATTCCATTACTTAAGGAATAGTTCAACCAAAAATGAAAATTTGCAGAAAATTCACTCACTCTCAGGCCATCCAAAATGTAGATGTTTGTTTCTGCATCGGAACAGATTTGGAGAAATTTAGTATTACATCCCTTTGCTCATCAATGGATCCTCTGCAATGAATGGGTGCCATCAGAATGAGAATCCAAACAGCTGATAAAAACATCACATGACATCCACGACTCCATTCCAACAATTAACATCTTGTGAAGTGACATCTGTTTTCACTTGTTAACGCTGTCTGATCGGTGCTTATTTCTCTCCCGATTCAGACAAAACAACTTTTTCCACTGGAGAAAGAAATATTATGAGTAGAGGATTCATTTGAAATTAAAAAAGTCTCGATTGGTTTGCTTTTCGCTTCACAAGACATTAATTGATGGACTTGAGTCATATGGATTACTTGTGGATTATAGTGATGTTTTATTAGCTCTCATTCTGACGACACCCATTCACTCCACTATTGAGCAAGTGATGTAACACTAAATTTCTCTAAATCTGTTCCGAAGAAGAAACAGACTCATCTACATCTTGGACGGCTTAAGGGTGTGTACATTTTCATTTTTTGGTGAACTATTACTTTAAGCAAGGCATCAATCTGCATGGTGAACTGTTACTGTGTATTTACTACTTCATGACTTTTGGGTGTGCAACAAAAAAATCCAGTGGATTATGGGTGGTGTGGAAAATAATATATTTATATTATGGTGTTGGCAGCTTTTATGATGAAAGTTTAAAGAATGGAAAAACACTATACAGCAACCAAACTGTCCCAGTGGATGAGACATGGACGTTCCAAGAAACCTCTCCACGGATATGCTGTCATTAAATCCACATGAGCAGACTGTCAGTCCAGGAGAGTCATGCGCATATGTCAGTATTTTAGTCAAGGTTTCTTGGCTACAGAATATCCTTCATTAAAATATTACAAATTAAACGTTCAGGTAGGATTGTGTATTGATAAAAACATGGATCGTCTTAAAAATAGAAACACACAACAAAGTTTATTTCGTTTTAACACCAATTGATAAGACTCTGCACACTGGCAAGACAAATCCACACAAAGAGGCTAGAAATGGAAAAATACAGGTGACGTTACATGGATTAGTATACAGAATAAGGAAAACATCAATTGCTAATCTATAAATAATTAATACAACAATATTTATATGGGAATACAAAGACATGGAAAGGTATTGAGGAAGGAAACCAGTCCTATGCATGCGCATGTAACTGTGATGGAAAGACATGCATGAAATACAAAACAGAATTCAAGTTATAGGAGTAGTTTTTTTATCAGTGGGGAAAGTGTGGCGTTTGGCTGAATAGCAGAATCATTATGTGCATTTTTGTCATACAGTACATTTGCTGAATTTACTATGAGCTCCTAACAGCAGCTGGAAAGACTAATAATATGGTTTGATGCTCTACTAAAAACGTTCTTCATCTTCATCACATTTTGTATCCTTCTTACCCAAAATTTTGTTAAATAGTTGTACAAGCACCAATACTGTTTCTGTATATCGTATTTTAAAACATGTTTCCTTTTCATGTAAAACGAGCATCTTACAATAGGTTGACAAATTTCTTCTGAGACTAATTCTGTTGGTTATGCCATAAGTGTGACACAACATGAAGGCAAACCACAATGATTTGCCAGAGGAGAGGTGCTAGGAACCCGTGAGTCCCATTAGAGGTGGTTAATTTATACAGCACCATTTGTTCTTCCCTGAGGTGTCTCCCCCTTCTTGATTAACCGGAATATTCCAAAGCGGTTGGATCTGTAGAATGTATGTGTCTCAGGAGACTTGTGTAGTTGTTGCCAGTTCAGCTGATTTATGGATGATGAAATTGAGATGGAAACGATGGCTTCGCTCTTTGGAATATGCAGACTACTTCCCTCGAACCTTGGTCTCAGCAGTGATTAAGGGAGAATTGAGTCGGAAAGATGAAATTCTTGCCCTCTTAATCCGGTAGGCATCTGGAGACGGTGTGCCAAAGAGGTCATCTCCTGATCCTAGATCTGGTTCTGTTGAAGGAAGAGAGAGTGAAGGCTGCTAAGTGCTAAACTTTGTAAGTGGCTGGTATCAAGACAGTTGATGAATAATAGTCCATTGATTCAGTTCACTGTAAAGGGGCATATAGAGATATTATGGAGATCATGTTATAGCATATTGAGATGAAGAAGGGTGGTAACAGGGCTCCAGACTGACAAACTTGTTGCAAAATTGTAAAATTTAGGAACTATTAGTGATGGTAATGAAAAGATATGCATGAAAAGTTGCATAAAGAGTTACATTGTTGTGAGCATTGATGCCCGAAACATGAACAAATGACTCTAATGGAATTATTTTTTTGGCGGTTTGAATTAGATTTGTTCGTTTTGTTTTGTTGTTGTTTTTGGGAATATGTCAGAGACTTTAATCAATCTATTTAATGACCGGTTGTCCATATGGAAATAATTAGAGATAATTGTAATTATAGAAGTATCAAAACAGAGTTCTGCTGTAAATATTTATAAATTATATTCTAAAAATCATTCTTATATATATATATATATTTTAAAAAATATTACTGATTATTGTTTAGCACAGCAAAGTCCATCTGTGAGGCTGAATCAACTCTAAAGAAACCTTTGATAAAAACTAAATACTTAATATTGTTATTATAAATTAATAAATGATACTCTACAAACTATTTTAATGTTTGTTTGTTTGTTTTTTTAATATTAGGTCCATTTAAATGTTTCAATCAACTGTATGGGAAACTTTGTTGATAAAAATAACACATATTTTTCTTTTTTTCTTTAGTACAGTACAGTCCATTAAGGTTGGATCAACTGTAAGGGAAACTTTGTATGGGACTGTAAGACAGTCAACAAAATATATTTTTTTCCCCAAACATGAATAAATATTCTTACAAAATGCATGAATATATGGCACAAATTCGATCATGATCACTAGAAAACCCTGGTTTATATAACTTCTGAGCAATTGCTTCTTTATCAAGCAATTCCCTTATTTGACAAATAAGAAATAATTTGGCTCCTATAAGTGCTGCCTTTTAGTAGATAATTTCAACCTAGTCTAGAGTCGAGCCCTGTGGTATTGCTTTGTTTTGGTGGGTAATGTTGGGTCTTCAATCAGAGGAAGAAGTGCGTAAAATCTTTACTAGTAATTCAAGGGATGCTGGTTCAAACTTCAGAAGGGCTGATTCATGAACTATTGGGGTGATTTACTGTGGTTCCCATCATCACACTGCATGCTTGAGAGAGGCACTGAAACCGGGTTGTTGCAGCAGCTTTATCTCCAAAGTAAATATAGCATACTGTAAGTCACTATGGATGGTAAAGCATCTACTAAATACCTAGCGGCTGCGTATCATTAAAATCAACTTAATGAGAGTCTAGTAACTGGGAAACACTGCCGGAGTTCTGGCCCTGGATGGAGTCTTTTTTTTTTTTTTAATTCATATAATCCTTCCTGTGTGCTGATCTTCTAACTGGCCAGGAGATGGCAGTAGATTGACTTGCTAGACGAGCGGAGGCGGGCATTACCTGGCCAGATGATCGCCTCCAGCAGCTGCACCCTGCGAGCCAGCAGCTCTAAGTCAGCTTGCAAGTCTTGGAACTTCTTCAAATTAAAGTCCTATCAAAGATCAAGAGTTTTTGACAAGCATGGTGGGGGGTTGGCCTTGTGGATGGCAGGTTGAGTACTTGGCCCCTGTCCTCCGCCACACTTGCTTTCCAAAGATGTTGTTGGGTAAAAGATGCACTGAAATCTCTGACCCCTGATTCTAAATCCTTTAAAATGGACCTAAATCTACTTCTGGCCTCCTACTCACCATGGATACCGATCATAGTCTCGAGGATTAAAACCCTCTCGGCTAAGATCTTCAGGGCTTCGCGGATTTGGTGTATCCCATCCCCCTGTGGAGATAGATACAGCCGTCAAGGTATTGGGCACAAGCCAAACAAAAGCGCTCGCCAAGATGCATAGTCATTCTGTTAATCAATTACATTAATCTCAAGTTAGCAGGTTAAGTTCTCAGCTCCATTCACTACAAAACTCCAGTTAACTACACATCAGATTTAGCTCTGCCTGTCTTTTTGCATTCTTTTCTTCTGTGGCCATGCCGTAAGTTTTTACAAAAGAGCATGCATTTTTTTTCAGAGGCCAGGCCAAAGGCCCCTTAGAGCAAATCAAGAACAAATGTTCAATCATTTTAGATTTAAACATGCATTTAACATTCCCAGTATACTCAGACTATGTTACTGAAAGAACAAGAGGTGAGCAGCTTTGTTCAAACTAAAGAGCTGTTAGAGTCATCTGGACAAAGTTTGTACTCAGTTGATGTAGACACACTTCTTTAGTCTTTAGTCTGCTCATCTCAAGGTAAAAGATGCTCTTACACCAAAGCCACCATAATAAGTTTAAATTGGAAACATGTCTATCAAATACTGGTGTCCAATCAGAGCCAGTAAATCATTACACATGATACATATAAAATACTTAATGAATTCTGACCATGTAAAATTCAAGGAATTATGGTTGGGTATCAATAAAGATTTCCCGATTCAGTTCACTCATAACCTCCATTTCATTTACATATTCAAGAAAGTCTCTCTCTTGATACTGTAAATTATACAGGTCAGTTTTCCAGACTGATTCAAACCGGTAGCATGTCGAAATAGCTTGTTCGTATCAGGAATAGGGAAACACTGATCACGCTGCACATTATAGATTCATTATAAAAAAACGACTCATAGGAGTCATTTGTTCGTAAATCAGATTATACTGATCGTGTTGTATGTTTGCGATTCATTAAAAAGAACTGACTCATAAGATTCTATGATACGCAGTACATTTTGGATTCACTAAAAATAATCAGCACATGAAAGTCATTTGTTTGTCAAATTTCAGTGTTAACGTAACCAGTGTTTTGTTTTTAGAATGATGTTATTAGGAATAGGAATTAATAGGAAAATCAATATTTTTACCGAGCCCTACAAAGAATCAGTATACTTGGACATCAAAAACAGATCTAACGGAAAACCTTTGTGCTATTTTACAAAAAATCTGCTGAAATGCTTAGTTATGTGGCTTTGGTGGGCATTTCGTGAACAGTGTAAAGAAACTGGTCACATAACGGACATTCTACACAACAGTCCCAAGCTCAAGCACACGTTAGAAAAACAGCATTACTGATGAATTCAGGAAAGAGTTATGAATGTAAGGCTTATGTAAAAGTTAGTGCCTGTGAGAGCAGGAGGTAGTTCATCTAGCCAAATAAAACAGAAAACAATATAATATCATTACTTAAAAAAAACAAAAACATATTCATTAAGGGATGTAAGTATGGCTATGGTCCAGAATCTTTCTCCAAGGTATTATATGAGCGTCATGTTGATAAATGTGAAGAGATTAATCTTCAAATAATTGTATGGTCTTTATACATGTTATGTATACATCTCTAAGGATTCTACATACAACAAAGAAGCTACACCTAAAGGATATAATGAAATTATCTGTCTTATGATTTATAACACAAATCTTCTGGGTTCGGCAGGCCTTGCGGAAAACCATACATTAGTTTTCTGTGAACTAAGATGCTTTTCAAGCCTTTCACAATAGATTGAGTATGAAAACGTAATGCAATTAAAACAGAACATTTGTTTGACTAGTAATCGCTCAATGCTACAAACTCAAATCGAATGGTTAGATGTAAGTTAAGGAGGCAAAAAGGAAGATTACAAGCAGCGCAATGAGATGGGATCATGCAGCAATGCACTGTGGGACACTGAGGGATAGCTGTATCCATCCACACATCCATCCACACACCAAATCCCTGCAAATGCTAAAATGGAGCATATACACAACACACAGACCTTACAGTCTTGCAAAGATGTTTGTTCTTATTTCTCCCCCCCTGTGGTTTTGACCCAGAGGTTTGGTTGCTGGACAGCCCATATTAATCAATTTACAATGGTGTACACAAAGGTTATATCAACAGTACAATGTTTCTTCTTTGTCGTAACAGCACGACAAAGCAAAGATTTAACATTTCTGTGTGTTGGGTATATGCCAGAGTTGGTAGCTAAGAGATTGGTGGCTGTGAAAGGCAGCCATGGAGACAGTAACGAAAAGGAATCAGATTTAGAGGACAGGGGAAACACTCCGAGACAGCCCCAACCACCAACCAATCAAAATCAACAACATTAACAACATCACTGCACATTCTGAATAGAATATACCCTTGTATGCTAACCTGAGACTAGTTCAGAAACCCCTAAAACTGGTCTCAGATCAGCTATAAAGGGCAACCTCTTGTTCAAAAACATATGGAAACAATACCAGTGCACACAAAACCAAGACACATAATGTGCTAACAGTGAGTACTGTAAGTAAGCAATGAACAGCATTTGTGGAGCAAATCCTTTCAGTGGAGTTTTCATTCGCTCTTTAATTTTGCTTAGATTTTTCACAAATTTAAAATGAGAAAATCAGTCTGCACCCATTTCTCAAGATGAAAATTCCACTGATGGATTTAGCATGATCGTTGATGTTAAAACACAGATGAATGGCAGGATGAGCAATGAAAACCTAAAACCAAGAACGACAAAAACATCATGGCAAATGTCAAAATCCCTTAAGTTTAAACCGCTCTAGAACAACGATAAGCAGGTATAAGGAAAGAGATTATTTCTGCATTAAAATCAACATATTCTGTTACACCAAATACACAAAATAATCATCTTTAAAAAAGCATCATATGACCCCTTTAAACAGATTTGAAGTGAATGACATTTTCCCTGCACTCGTGAGGCTCAGGGACTGATCATTTCTCTCCCACACTCCCTCCTGTAAAGGTTTAGCAGGAGCAGGGAGTGAGTGTGCGACTAACAGGACTCCTGATGGGTTTGTCTTACCGGAAGACCTTTCTCCCCCGGCTCTCCTTTAGGTCCCGGCACTCCCTAGGAAGAAAAAGTGTCAATAATGATCGATTTCTCACACAAACTTAACGTACGGCTTCAGAAGACTTGTGACAAAGTCATATGGTCTACTTTTGTAGTGCTGTCCTTATTCTTTTTTGATCAGGTAGAAGGTGTGTGTCTTACCGGCTCTCCTTTGAACCCTCTCTCTCCTGGATATCCAAGAGGTCCCTGTGGAGGTAAATTAAGGGTGAGAATTGCACAATATATTCAGGCAGCGTTGCACTCTGGGTAGGTTTATGCTTGTGCACTCACTCTTTCGCCTCGTTCGCCCTTTGGTCCCACAGGGCCTTGCAAACCAGGAGGTCCCGGCTTTCCCTGATTACATTAGAAAAGGATGATGTGATTAGTACACACACAAATTCACACACTCACATAAGAAATAGCCTATAACTTACAGTTTGTCCCATAGGGCCTGGTGGTCCACTGGGTCCCATCGGTCCTTGAGGACCTGCAAAAGACACATATCTGTTAACATATCTGAATAAAACACTTCATGATCTCACGTTATGGCATTGCACTGACATGCAGCTCGAAACAGCATATGGAAAATATTGTGATGGCCAGCGTGATACTAAAATGATAGAATAATGATAAAAACGGTCCATTCGGACCAAATCAAACTGCTAGAGGCTGCAACAAGTTTCTACAATTGAAATATCACATTTGATTGATATCAGTATACCTGATGGATGCTCCTAGGGGAAAACGTGTTTTAACATAAAACAAGGACAACTGATAATTAGAAGTAACTCAATAAAGTAGTTTTGAAATTATGGATATATGATTGTCTGAAATGATGCAGGAACCTCTAACTGAAATGTATCACCCAGCAAGCATTATTTAACAATTTAAGACTTTGAAAAAATCGCTTCACAGAAGAAAAATTAGACTTGGTTTGTGTCCAGAGACAGAATAAAACAAAGAATTCTCATTATACACAAACACACACAATATTTCACATCCCACACATTTTGTATTCATTGTATTCATTCATACTGAAACAGTAAGTAATTTAAGACAGGCCACAAATAGTAAGGCAACTTTGAGTTTAGTGACATTTTTGTTGTGTGATGTTTTCAATATTCATTTTACAGTGTGTAGAAAAGTAAAATATGCCAATATGCTCAAGAATAAATGGCTGAAAAAAAAAAAAAATGATGTGTGTATGTGGCATAAATTCGTCAGATTTTAATTTTTTGTTTTCAAATCAGGCTTTCAAAAGCTTAGTTTAAACTTAGTAATCATCCATGGTATAAATGTGCAATAGTGAAAAATACTTTAAACAAGTCAAGTCACCTTTATTTATGTAGCATTTATGTATTTATGTGTTGTATTCAATACAGATTGTGCCAAAGCAGCTAAACAGTGTTAAACGGTGTGTCAATAAGCCAAACTTGATTACATGAGAAAAAACAAGAAAACAATTATTACGATTCACTGACCCGTGGGTCCAGCTGGACCTGGTGGTCCATGTGAAGGGGTCACTCGGAGGTCGGGAAAGTTGTTATGAAGCAGACTGTCTTTTTTCAGGCCTGTAACAACAAAAAAACTAAAAATTAGGGATGCACAGAATGTTCGGCAACCGAGATTATTCGGCCGAAAATAGCAACAACAAAAAAAAGCTCTTTCGGTGTTCGGCCGAATAAGCGAAAAGACCGAATAAATTGTACCGAACATGACGTGACGGGATATTGGTTTATTTAGACTCAGAGGGAGTGTCAGACACATTAAAAAAGTGAATAACTTAAGTAATGTGTGGATTAATGCTTACTGGAGATGCGAACCGTTTCAAACGATTCAGTCCGATTTGGTGAACTGGTTCAACCGGTTCACTAAGAAGAACTGGTTAAATCGAACGATTCGTTCGCGAACCGGACATCACTAGCGCAGAGTGAGAGGCGCGCACTCTTTATAACGCATGTCAGCAGTGTGGAAGCATTTAAAACTGTCTGAGAAAGAGGAAGGGGTGATTGTTGCTGGTTACTGTATGATGATTGAAATCGCGAAATGGCCTTAAACAGTTAGTAAATAAACTGCAGAACGTTATGTTTTCTAATACACGCGCGCATTGCATGTATTCTCTGACAGCGCTGCACAAACTCGCGGCGCTATCTGCTCGTTAGCCAGGGTTCAAGTCCAAAGCGCGAGGGAAATCTGCGCTGAAACAGTGTTACTCGTCAGTTG